AAAGTGGCAAATCTACAAAATAACAATTACAAAATAGATTTTCCAATCATATTTATATGAGATGACATAAGGAGAAAAGAACATCGTGCTTCATAGAGTAGAAGGTCAGTGAACTAGAGGAAGACCCCCAGTGAGGTGGATTGACACAGTGGCAGCAGCAATGGGCTCAAGTGTAACAATAATTGTGAGAATGGCCCAGGACTAAGCAGTGTTTCATTCTGTTGTACAGAGAGTATGAGTCAGAATCAATTCGCTAGCACCTAACAGCAACAGCAAAGGAGAGAAGCCTGAACATAAACATATTTTCCACATGGTTCCCTGGAAATTTTCTTATTCATTAGCCAGAGACATTTTTAGCTGCTAGTGTGTGGAGTCAAGTCGGTTCTGACTCAGAGAGAACCTGTATGGGATTTCTGAAAGTGACTGGTGGGTTTCAAATACAAAAAATAGTGCCATTTTAAATAGCCCTCAAATGGATAAAATGCCAAGGATTTAACCTATTTAGGGACATAAAAGACCTACACAATGAAAATAATAAAACACTACTAAATGAGACTCTAAAAAAAAAAAAAAAAAAAATCTACAAAGATGGAAACATAACCCATGCTCATGGACTGGAAGACTTAATATACTAATATTGTCAATTCAACTAAATACACAGTTGCAATGCAATCCTGATATCCCAACAATATTATTTATTGAAATTGAAAACCTAATGGCCAACTTTATATGGATGGGAAAAAACCCCAAATAGCCAATGCAAGATGGAAGAAAAGGAACAAAGGATGAGGCCTCACATCTCCAAATACAGCCATATTGGTTCAACAATAGACCCATGGACCAATGGGATAAAATTGAGAACTTAGAAATAATTTAAGCCATTTATGGACAACTGATTTTCAAGAAGGGATTAAAGTCAATTGGGTGGGGCAGAAACAGTCTCTTCAATAAATGATACTGGAAAACTAGCTATCCACCTGCAGAAAATGAAACCGGACAAAAACAAACCCAAAATGGGTCAAAGACCTGAACATTAAACCTAAAACTGAGAACAAAACAGAAAGAAAACTAGAGGACCTAATCTTTTATAAAAATAAGATAACAAACATTACATGTAGAAATAGAAGAACACAAAGTAGATTACTGGGACCTCATTTGTGCCCATTCCAAAGAGAGGTGACCCAATGGAATGTGGAAATCATTGGACAATCTCTTTGATATCTCAAGTGAGTAAAGTTTTGCTGAACGTAATACAGAAACGGCTACAATCATACATTTACAGAGAACTTCCAGAGGTTCAAGTCAGATTC